TATCTCCACACATACATGTGGGTACTAGTGGAGACCAGAAGAAAGTCTCAGATCCCCTGGAGCTAGTGTTATACAGGTGGTCGAGAACCCCACTATGTGGGAGCTGAGAACCAAACCAAGATCCTTTCCAAGATAAAAAAGCAAGCATTCCCAAACACTAAGCCATCTCTCCAGACCTTGGAGGTGACTTTCTGGAATAACTCCAACACACAGCATGGCCCCTGCAGGGCTCTAGTCTGTCTCTTCACCAATGTCTACTACCCACTGCCAAGGGCAAAGATCATATTCAGTCCCTCATGGCACCTTAACTGACCTCTGCTCTGTGCGCTGAATGCCATGGTTAGAGTGTCCCTGAGACTAACCCTATCTGTCCATACTTGAGATCTGCCTCCAAGGCAGATCTGGTGAAAATTGTGGGTTCCTGGGTCATTCTGGTAGTATGATGACCCATCAGAGCAGACACATCAAGGTGCCTCGGCCAGCTCAGGTATGAGTTCCCCACCAAGTCTATCAAGAGGTTGCAGCTGTTGCTTAGTTTTTATTTTTACTTTTTGAGACAAGGTATCCTTGTAGCCCCAGCTGGCCTGGAACTTATATGTAGACCAGGCAGGCCTTGATCTTACAGAGATTCACCTGCCTCTGCCTCCCGAGTGCTGGGATTAAAGGTGTGTGCCACTGTACCTGGCCATGCCTTGGTTTTTAAACAATTAAGTTTATAAACTTGAAGATCAGTGATGGTGAGGAGATGTGGTGGCTTAACCAGGGCTCTGTTTCATCTCTGGGTGACTGTTCTTGAAGTCTGCTTTCATGCTGTGCTGTCTTTATGGTCCAGGTCTTGTACCCTGCTGCTGGGTTTGGAGCAGAAAAGACTGACCTTGGTCCACAGTCACTGGCAGTGCTGCTGGGGTGGAGGTGCAGGAGTGTATGTGGGGTGTCGCCTCTGCCCTGGCTCACTCCAGAACTCAGCAGGACTTCCTACCAAAATGGGCAGCTCTTTCCGGCAGGTGGAGTGGACTTCTTAGTGGTCAGACTTGGTTCTCATGGGCCTCCTGAGCAATGACTGGGCACCACTGGCTGCAAGGCGAAGGTTCTTCTACTGCTTCCAAGTCCTGCGCAGAAAATGGACATAGCATACCACCAACACTATCCTCCTTTAAGGATGTCTTGGGTGCCCAGCTACCTTGGGAGAACCTGGGGCTCTCTCTGAGGAGAGTGACCTAATGACTCTTTCACTATGCCTCACTACCTTCGTGGGCTACAACAAAGCCCAAATTTAGGGAGAGGATGGTGTGAATAGTTACAGTGCCCTCTTTCCCCTCAGAGGGAGGAGGTCCTACCCAGCCAGACCCTCCAGGAGGCGAGTAGCAGTATGTCAGCAGGACTGTGCCAGCCCCCCTCTCTCCAAGAACACTGGGGCTTGCTTCGAACCAGATGTGCCATGAAGGGGGGTTCTTGGACCACTAGGGCCAGCCCAAATGCCTGGCAAGAAGTTGGTAGGGACTTGTGCACAGCCCTCTCCTGGCGCCAACCAGTAGTGAGTATCCCAGGCTTTCATCCCTAACTGCCAACCCTCTGCTCGCCCTTGCTCACTCAAGGAGAATCCCCTCCGGCATGCCCTCCCACTACGGCCAGTGAATGCCTCCACACACTTGGAGAGAAAGCCTCCATCAGGGCGGGCACCTCCCACCTCCAGAGGAATTCCGCGGCGCTGGCCCCTCGGGGAGGTAGGGCGCGGACAACCCAGGGCGCCTCTCGATTGGTTGGCCCAGCAGTGTTCAACTCCTCTGCGAGGCTGGCCAGCTACAGGCTCACCTCCCTTCCCGCCGCGGGCCTGAGAGGGAGCGAGGTGGCCTTTAACCCCCTGCGCAGACCAGCCAGGAATGCGAGGACGCGTTCTCCTTTCGAGGGCAGTGGAGGCGAGAAGGGACGCACGGGCCTCACCGCACCACTGGGGGCGGGGCGAGGAGACCCATCTCAGGCTACAGGAATCGATATGCGATCACCGGCTGGGGGCCGAGGGCCAAGACAGACAGGGCCGCTTGCCTCCTGACCCTTCTCTGGGCCCCAAGCCCCGACCCCCGGCAGTTCGACGTGCGGCTGCAGCGCTCCAGGTCGGCCAAACCTGAGCCCTGGTGGCAGGCATCGCCACGTGGCCCGCGCCCCAAAGCGACAGCGCCCAGGTCCCCGGATGGCGGGGGTGCTCAGTGACCAGCCCTTTCTGGGCACCGCGCCCCAGGAGCGCGTTTTCTTTGCTCAGCCCAGGGCCCGCTGAGCTGCCTCCGCGCTCCTGTAAGTCCCGAAGTTTGAGAGGCGCTTGCACCGCGACGGTTCGGCGGGGGTCGGGGACGGCCGGGACCCGAGGCCTCGCGTATCCCCAGGAACAGACGTGCAGGCCACGCGGGGTGCGCCCACGCGACCCGGCCTCCCTGCGCTCCCGCAGCCCGTATCTCTCATCAGGTGGGCACAGGCTCCGGACCCGGGGCCCCCTTCCGCGTCGCCCGCCAGCCTGGAGGAGGGGGCTTCCCACAATGCCCAGCGAGCCCCGGCCCGCACTTCCGCTGACCGGCGCGGCAGGGGGGCCGCGAAGCACCGGCCGCCTCGGCCCCCGCCAGCCCGCAGCACAGAGCCGGCG